GTGTGTATGTAGTGAAAATGTTTTATGTATATTGCAAGTAAAACCTATGTGAGTATGTTTTTGCTGACTATAAAAATTTAAAAGTTTTAATTGCCTATGGGAAACCACTGAATAATTGTATATAGTCAACTGTCAATTGATAATGCCTTGGAGAACAGAAGTACAAATCTAAATAGTTTCCCATATATGATGTGGGGACTGATTTTTAAATTATTCTGAAGCAAATATAATTCTGATTTTATCCAAATAGGTTAATAATCAGGTTCAAGTGCCTCAACAAATTGTTGCCAAGCTGAAATAATACAGATAATTAAAGCTAGTTAGCAAACTGACAAATTCCAAAAGGAGGATTCATTTAAACAAAGACTAAATAGCATTAATGTGATTTGTTAACATCACTCCAATAAAGCATAAGTTAGTTTCTTACCTTAGATTTAAAAGGCATGATGAAAGAAGGCACCAATAAAATAAGGCATTTTAAGCCCATGAAAAAGAATTTCAGAATGAAGTCTGTAATTCCAACAATCCAAAGTACTTCCCAGAAGCTCAAATGGTCCAAAGTAGGATTTAAAAAAATTAAGCTACCAAAAGAAAAACATCAGAATTTACCAGAGCAACATAGAAAGGTAAAGTATTAATAAAGGGTTTTAATTTGCTACAAATATTTTGATATGTAAAAAATATGAATTTGGCAGGATGTCAGAGTTCACAATAATGGAATGGAGGATCATTTTGCTTATTTTAGAGAGACTTTTAGAATGTTTGGATTTTAGATCTTTCCTTTATAGAATAAGGAAAAAGTCTTCAGTTTGTCATAGTTGACACCTTTCTAGCCTGTAAACGAGAAAAACTCATCAATACCAAACATCTGCCATGTTTTTCTTAACCAATTCCAATTAAGATTCCATCTCTTCCTTTCAGTGAATTGCTTGTCAAGATCATCAACTCCCTCTGTATGGCTAAATTTCAAGGTCACTTCTCTTTTTCCGTCTTCCCTCCCTGAATAATTTTCTTTTTCTTTTTTTTTTTTTTTTT